TGGGGAGGGTCAGGCGCTGGGCCATCTGCTCGCTGTAGTGGGCGGCTGCCTTCTCCACGGCCGCTGAGTTCTCACGCTCTGCCAGAGTCATCACTGCGTTCTCCAAACAAGGAACTGCCCCACTGTTGATGGTGTCCACGTAGGCCACCGCCAGTGTCCCCAGCCCTGAGTGACACAGGATATTTAGGGCAGAAGAGACAGTTCTTACCTGTTTGTTTGGTTGGGTTTTTTTTACATTTAGAGATCTGCATTCTAAAAATCACTAGGCTTTGACTGAATTTATTTTTCCTCCTCTTTCTTCTCATCTTGATCTTGTCTTCAGCTTGGTCTCCTCCTCTTTTGTCTTCCATGAATCCTCTTCTTTATAATAACATCACTATGTCTCCTACTCACTCCATCTTATGATTCTCAAACGCATCACATTATAATATTAGGTGAAAGATCTCAAAAAATATGTTCAAGGGTCTCCAACACCACTTTTCCCAGTTTAATAAAATAAAAAGAACTAATTACACACGTATGTAAGATACACAGTTTGTGGGCGCTATTTGTAATGAAAGTGTGGTCCCCATGTAAAAGTGTCATCAGGAATTTCAGGACAGTGGGAGAAATAGTAAACGAAGCAGGCCCCATCTCAGAACAGTGCCCTGGGTGACTGCCCAGGGGGCACGCGCATGAAGCCAGCACCTGATGTGAGACTGAATTTACATCTGTCTCTCACTCAGTGAGTCTACATGGCTCATGACCTGGTATTTGTTTTCTCATTCATGCAAATTCACAGAACGGCTTGCGTATCTTCACTACAAACACTTATCCCATCAGACGTCTCATCAAATTGTGTTTTTCCTTCCTTAACAGGAGTCTGACCTTATACTGGTAGTGTAATAGTATTATGAGATTTGATAGGCTTCAATAACCCTTATGTAGGAAAATTTTAATGAAGAAGCATGGATTTCTGTGTGTGGTATGAACATATGCTTTCCCACATTACATACAGAAGAAAACACAATTGCTGACAAAACCACAGTGCGCTCACAGCTCCATCACACACCCTGACCCACGGAGGGATAGGCCGCAACTACAGACTCACCTCCCCCAGTGA